TTTTTTTTTTTTTTTTTTTGAGACAAGATCTTGCTAGGTAGTATAGGCTGGTCTTGAACTCACTATTATAGCCCAGGCTGGCCTTGAGCTGCTGTGGAGCCCCTGCCCCAGCCTCCTGAGAGCTGGGCTTCCAGGTGTGCACCACCACACCCATCTCTTACTCTAAGCCTGTCTTCTTGTTCATCTTCCCTCCCCAGCCCCCTTCCTGCCCCCTGGTGGATTCTTTGCTTCTGTGCTTCTGTCTTTATACAGGCTGTGGCCCTGACTTTCCTGATGCTCCTGCAGCCCTGCTGGGGCACAGTCATAATATGTAACTTTTAGTGCGGGGATTGAACCCAGGGCCCCGTGCATGCTAAGCTGGCGCTCTGCCACTGAGCCACATCTGCAGCCCGATACGGTTGTCCTTTCTTGTCCTCCTTCCTCTCCAGACCTCTGCATTGTTCACAGCTCTGTATCCCCAGCCCCTGGCACCGGCTCATGCCCTTCAGAAATATTTATGAGCCCTGCTGTGTGCCAGGCACGCGCTGGGGGCGCTGCTGAGAGACACAGACAGAGCTTGTGCTCCTGCTGGGGGGGGGGGGGGGGGGGGCAGATCTTTAGGTAGAATGATTTCAGATGAGCCCAGTGAAGGAAGGAGCAAGCGAGGTAACAGGGAAGGGAGCAGCGTGTGTGTGTGTGTGTGTGTGTGCGTGCGCGCGTGTGTACATGCTAAACGTGCTGGGGTGGGCGTGGGGTTGTGCGCCTGTGATCCTAGATACTCAGGAGTGGAATAGCAGGCTTGCAGGGAGTTGGAGGCCAGCCTGTGCTACACAGTGAGTTCAAAGCCTGCCCAAGCTACGTAGCCAGACTCTCTCAAACCCTTCCCCTCACTCCTGCCAAAAGAAAAAAGATCTGGGAAGAAATCAGGCCAAGGACAGGAGATAAGGACAGCTGGCAGTGCAGAGGCAGGTCTTGTAGGGACCTGCCGAGGTCCAGAGCTTTTCATGACTCATTGGAAGAAATTCATTTCCCGTGGAACTCCAAGTTCATGCACGTGTGTGTAACTGAAACAAGTTTTGGGAAACAGCTCTTCCCCTTGCCACATGTGAGGCGCTCTGTAGTCGCAGATGTTTTTCTATTTTGCAACCAAGCTAGTGAGACCCTATCTCAGAAAACAAAGTAAAACAAAACAGGCTGCAGGACTGGAGATATAGCTAGGTGTGAAGGCTCTGGGTTCAATCCCCAACCCCCACTCCTCCAAAAAAAAAAGGATGAAACAAATTTTAAAAATCCTTTTTTTTTTTTTTTTTGGCAGTACTGGAAATGGGACTCAAGGCCTTTGCCTGACCTACATCTCCAGGCTTTTTGTTATTTTGAGAGCTCAGGCTGGACTGAATGGCAATCCTCCTGCCTTGGCCTCCCCGAGCCCTGGGATTACAGACATGGCGCTACCATGCCAGGCTTGTTTTACTTTTAAGTGTGCTGGTTACAGCCAGACATGGTAGCACAGGCTGTAATCCCAGCCCTTATTTTTTTGTTTTGAGACAGTCTCACTAAGTTACTCAGTTACCCAGGCTGAGTTCCAACATGCCTTCCTCCTGCCTCCCCAAGTCTGAGACTGCAGTTTATGTTGCCACACAGTGCCCTTTATTTTGTGTATACCTCTCTGGATTTGGGGTTTTATTTCAACTTGTGTACAGAGAGGGGCCTGGTGACTATGTGCGGGGTAGGGAAGAGCTGGCCTTGGGGGAGCCCTGGGGGGGTGTCCCCTACCAAGGGGCTGTACCTGGTCACTTGGGGTTAGGCTGGGCATTTCCTCATCCACCCAGGGCCCTGGGGCCTGAGCTTGTCTTCCCGAGACTTCAGTCCGGCGCCGTGTGCTTTTTCTTTTCCTTCCCTGCGGCTCACTTCCCCCGAAGGAAGCTGCTCATCCTGCCACTTGATGGGAGTTCTGTGACTGTCCCCATGCAGCATTGCTCTTGTTGACCCTGCACAGTGGGAATTACAGTCCCTGTTTTATGGAAGCTCGGTAAGGTTAAGTGGCCTGTCCTCAGGACATGGCTTGGAAATGAAAGTGTCCCCGGTCCTGGTGAGGGGAGACTGCTCTTGGCCACTGCCCCAGGCTTTGGTTCAGGTCTGTGGCAGCTGAGGCCTCTGAGGCACAAGTTCCCCACAGCCTCATGTGCCCTCCATCTCCACAGCTGGCATCTCAACATCCAGGAAGGACCTGGTCACCTCATCCCCACCATCGGCAGCGCCCTCCCCAGCTGAACCAGATGACACTCAGGTAGGCTGGTGCCAAGGTAGAGAGGGTGGCCTTGGGGGACAGTTATCGTTGCAGTAACTGTCATAAGCAATTTGGCCCTGGTGGCATTCAAAGGGTGTTCTCTGCCCTTTCCCCACTAGCTTAGAGAACTGGGTCTCCCAAACTAGGACAGGGGCGCGGGTCAGAGTCCAGTTCCTTCTATGGGCTCCACTGTGACCTTGCTATCATGGGACAACCAGTAGCTACATGTGGAATAGAGCTACTGTCCCCTGACTCCTTTGAGTCACAGATCCAACCCCCCCATATGGTTCCATTGAGTGACCACTCTGGGAGGGCAGTGTCATGGGTTCTGGTGGCACAAGAGGAAGCTTAGACTCAGCAAGGTTTGGTCATTTTTCCCAGACCACTCAGCAGGGAAGTGGGGCCACCCTGCCAGTCACCTTTTCCAAGGACAGGAGCCATTCACATGCTCCGGGGACAGTCAGATTCACCGTGCAGTGCCCTAGGGAGGCCATGTGGGACCGAGACTGGCAAAGGCTTTAGGGACAGGTGGGGAGATATGCAGAGACACGGTCCAGGTCACAGTGCCAGGCAGCAGAGACCCCAAGATTAACCTGGAGGCGGGGCTGGCGAGATGGCTCAGTGGTCTAAAGCACCTACTTAGAACAAGCTTAGCAAAGCAAAGGGACTGCGGTTCAATTCCCCAGCACCACATGCCAGCCAGTCCCGCCCCCTGGTGGGCTGAGCTGGCCACACACACGCACACACCCACACACACACACAAATAAATAAAATTAAAAAAAAAAAAAGATTAACCTGGAGGGTCATAGCCCTCGGGGAGGGACTGCAGCAGAAGCTGCCTTTCCAGGGGCAGGGACCCTAAGGAACCAGAAGTCTGGATCTTTGTGTTTCCATCCCAGCATGGTGACTTAGAGCAGGTCTGTCCCCTTTGGGGCCTTCGGCGTCCTCATCTGGGAATGGTGACAGTCTCTAGGCCTCTGCCCCTCCTGGGGCTCTGACCCTGGTACACGGTCATTGGGAAGTTGCAGGCACAACTGAGGGTCTGTGGCCGTGATAGAGAAATGATAGGAAGGCCAGGAGAGTGTTCTGGGACTGCACAGCTGATGACTGTCTCTGTTCCCTGCAGAGCGAGGAGCTGTCCTCAGGTAGCCTGTCCGAGCGGGGTGCCCAGCAGGCCCCCAGCAGCACGTGTGCAGCCTGCCAGCAACATGTGCACCTGGTGCAGCGGTACCTGGCCGAGGGCAGGCTGTACCACCGCCACTGCTTCCGGTGAGTCACTTGGTACCAGGGCAGGGACCCAGGCCCAAGCACCCATGGGGTGCCAGACCCCTGCCTGGCTCATCACCATTACTGAGCAGCAGAGGGGGGCTCACCTGGGGACAGAGATGTTCCTAGTCATGAAATTAATGAGAATTTCATGATTGACACAGGGCACCTCTAATGCCCCAATCATGCAGTATGTGCCTTACAGCCTGAACTACATAGCGAGACTTCCTCTCCAAAAAAATCACAGTAGCTTGATTGAAGTGTAGCTTTCTGGGTGAAGCTAGAGTTAAAGAAAGTGGAATGTAAGAGGCCAGGAAAATGTAAAAAATTAGACAATCTGCAGATTGTGTATGTGTGTATGCACACATGCATGTGCATGTGCGTGTGTGTGTTGTGTTGCTGGCTGTGGAGCCCAGAGTCTTACCTATGCTTGGCGAGTGCTCTACCCTGAGCTCCATCTCCAGTCCCAAAACATTTCATGTTACAAAGAACAAACCTGAAAAAAAAAAAAAAAAAAAAAGGAATATAACAAGAGGAAGCCCAAGGTTGACTTCTTATGTGCATCTAATCTGGTTTAGTGTGTGTGTGTGTGTGTGTGTGTGTGTGTGCGTATGCGTGTGTGAGAGTGGGTGTGGAACCTTGATACAGAGTGTCATGGAAGAACATGACACAGTCACATGTGGCCGGCCACGCAGTGTGTTTGAAACTTTTTACTTTGGCTCTAAGTAAAGCAAAACTTGCATGTGACATTGACTAAGTGTTAAGTATCTGAAATGAAACTTGCGTCAGTAGGTGAACAACTGAAAGATAGGTTTTATAGGACAACCTTTGGCCTGGTATTGATGGTGCACACCTGTAATTCCAACACGAGGGAAGCCGAAGCAGGCGGCTTGCAAGTTTGAGGGCAGCCTGAGCTACCTAGCATGTTCCATGCCAGCTTGGGCTGCACAGTGAGACCCTGTCTTAAAGAAAAAAAACAAAAACAAAAACAAAAAACAAAATTTGTCCTTGCCTGTGTGAGTCACTGTGATGTATTGTGTTCTGTTTCATTAAAGCCACATATCCCTGGGGCTGGGAGGTAGCTCAGTGGTAGAGTGTTTGCCCAACATGTTTGAGATGCTGGTTCAATCTCCAGCAGTGCCAAAAAACCAAAAACTAATCTAGATGGTTGAAAGCCACCAACCTGATATCTGGAGCCACTGTTGAGGCAGCCCCCTGCTGGACAGACCTCTGGGGCTGCTTTCATACTTCCTCTTAGAACACAGACCCAGGCGAGTTTCACAATTTCTGGTGCAGATTTCACTGTTCCAGTGTTTCTGGCAGCTGCCACCATTTGCACGTGCTGGGAAATCCTGGCACTGAGCCAGGGTCTTCTGGCAATTAGGAGCCCTTGGGGAGGGTCCTCTGGCAATCAGGAGCCTTGGCCTGTGGTGGAGGGGAACCAGCGTTTGACCGCTAAGCAAACCCCTGTCCTGTCCCTTGCAGGTGTCGGCAGTGCTCCAGCACCCTGCTCCCTGGAGCCTACAAGAGCGGGCCGGAAACGGGAACCTTTGTGTGTGCTGAACGTTGTACCAGGCTGGGCCCAGGGGGACAGGCGGGAGCCAGGCCTGTGCCTCCCTCACAGCCAAAGTCCCAGCAACTTGCAGAAGCAGCCAGGGATGGCGAGGGTGGCAGCCCCAGCCCCAGTGTGGCCGCAGGACACAAGGCCATCTCTGAGGCCCGGCCACATGTTCCCACAAAGCCCCCACTTCCAGGAAAGCCCCAGGAGCTGAGCAGCCCCATCTCTGGCCGGCCCACACCTGCCCCCAGGAAGGCCTCCGATGGCATGGCCCTGACACCCCCCACACCACGGCCCCGGTGCAGCCTGCAGCAGGACAGCACAGCAGAGCAAGGTGGCAGTGGTGGCCTCGTGAATGGTGAGCGAGGGTACCACCAGGGCCAGTGTCCACGTGCATCTAGGAGTGTTAGGGCTTGGGGCATATCTCCAAGGTCTGCCGCAGACAGTCACCATGAGCCTCTCCTAGCCAGGCTTCATCATTTTTTTTTTTTTTTTTTTTTTGCGGAACTGGGGATTGAACTCAGGCCCTTGCGCTTGCCAGGCAAGCGCTCATTCTACTGAGCCATCTCCCCGGCCCCAGGCTTCATTCTTGAAGCTGATACAGCTCAAAGCAGGCAGACACAAGTCCTCTAAGCTGCTGTTTGGTGGTGTGAGTGTGGGGTCCCTGTGCCTCTGTCTTTGCCTGTGTGACCCAAGTGTCTTGGCATTCTGGACATGTAGGTGTCACTGCGTCCCCACGCATGTTCCATGTGACCTCCCGTGCCCCATGGAGGTGTGTGCTTGTCAGCGTGTGGCCGGGGAGAGCTCCAAGGCTGGAGGGAGAACAGGGCTCGGCGCACTGAGCTACCCGGAGCTGCAATGCAGGCCTCAGCTGGCTCCCTGGGTCCCTTCCTGGGAGGCAGGGGCTTCCGGGAGGGGGCGACACCTCAGCTGAGCAGGCTATTTGCTGCCCACACTGGAGGAGTATCTGAGGGCATTCGGGTTCCTTCCTGTCAAGTAAAGTACAAGCGAGGTCTCAGGAGGCCTGGTCACCTGCACTTGTTACAGTTCTCCTGGTCACCTTCAGTGCTTATCTAATCTCCCTGTGGGCTGGGCAGGGGAGGTGCCAGGAGCTGGGGAGGTTGCCGTGGTCACCTCGGGTCTGTGACCTGTGGGTAGGAGGAAAGGGCACTGCGTGAAGAGGCAGCCACTCTACTGGCTCCTGTGCCACTCTGCTACCCATGAAGGCCTGTCTCACTGTCCTTTCCAATCTAGGAAGACTCCAGGAACCCCCTGTCCCCAAGCCCAGAGGGACACCCAAGCTGTCAGAGAGGTATGTATGTTGGTCCCTGAGATGTTTTTCTGTGTTGGCAGCCTTGGTGATGGGAATGGGGTCCCTAGGGCCCTGGTGGGGCCAGAGCTTCCTGTGGGTGTACAGGGCCTTGTTGAGAGGGACAATCATTTCTGGGTGGCAAGGGAGAGTGTTACCTATGATCCCTTGCCTGTGGCTCCGTTTGGGAGCTTCAACTCAGGACCTGCAACTCAGGAGGGGACACCCCCCACAGAAACCCCTCATCTCTTGGCCTTGCCTCCCCCATAACACGGGAGACCCAGGGAGGTATGGGAAAGCCTGGCTGAGGTGCTTTGAGAGCCATACTTTGGGTAGCCAGGCTGTCCTAGCACTTAGATCCCTTGTGTGCTGTGACACTTAGGTGCTGGATGTGGAACTCATCAGATGCCTATAACAGCCCAGTGAGGCTTCGTCTCCCCTTAGCAGATGAAGACCCTGGCACACGGGGAGGCCAGTGGCTTTGTTCATGTATTACACACAGCCCCTGTTGGACCTTTCTGGGGCTGCGTGACTTAAGGGTTTGCTCTGTCTAAGCCTTGGGGTGCCCAGTTGGGAGGTGACCGTAATGACCCATTGTGGCTTTGGGTCCAGATGGCCCCTGGGCTAGGGGAGAAGAGAAAGGCAGCTTCTCATCACCCACTTGGGGATGGATTCCACACGTCCTGAGGCAGCAGGGAGGCTGACCCCTTGCCCGGCTCATGCCTCTGCAGGACACCACCCCCCAGGAAGGAGCCCCCGTGGATAGCGCTGGTGCAGGCAGAGCACAAGAAGAAGCCAGCCCCGCTGCCCCCCAGCAGCCCCAAGCCGCCTAGCCGGGCCAGCAGGCAGGTGGAGAATGGTGGAGTGGAGGAAGTACCCCTGCGCAGCCCAGCAGCTGGGGCCTCCTGGGAGCCCAAGCCCTACAACCCCTTTGAAGAGGAGGAGGAAGAGGCAGAGGAGCCATCCCCAGCAGCACCCAGCCCGGCCCCTAGTCCTGCCCAGGCGCCCCCAGAGAGCACCCCCAAGTCCTTGCACCCCTGGTATGGCATCACACCCACCAGCAGCCCCAAGACGAAGAAGCGCCCTGCTCCTCGTGTGCCCAGCGCGTCCCCGCTTGGTGAGTGCCTGCCGAGCTGTGCTGACCTGGGGCAACTGGACCAGGAGGGGTGTTGTTCCAGGGAGCCCTTGGATGCCCAGTTCCCTTTCCCCTCCCACGCCCTTCCAGGGCAGCCCCTGCAGGTGTGACTTGCTGCAGGCCTCCCAGCACCAAAGCAGTGGGAACTGGGTGTGAATCGCAGCGCTCTGGGCCCAAAGCCCCTCTTCTTAACTCTCTCTGCTGTGCTAATTAAACATGGGTTTGGGAAATGAGCTGGGCATGGTAGCCTGTGCCTGTAATCCCAGCACTTGGGAGGCTGAGGCAGGAGGATCCCTGGGAGTTAGAGGCCAGCCTGGGCTGCCTAGCAAGACCTTGTCTCTAAAAAACAAAAACAACAAAAACATGGGTGTGGTGAGTGCTGGGAGGCTCCTGGTATACAAATGCCAAAGTGAACACTAGCTTTGGGCTTGGGAGCCACGTGGTAAGGTTTAGCACCTGCCCTGCCTCACTGGGTCATTGTCACTGACTCTTGGATTGCCCAACAACCTGGGCTGTCACCTGGCAGTGTCCCAGGACTTCCTCCCTCACCAGGGCATGCTGTACTTTCTGGCTATTCCAATCTCCCAGTCTCTGTACCCTCTTGGTCACCTTATACCGCAGCTGGAGCCTGTGATTCCCTCCAAGAGTCCCAGTGGGTTCATCATGTTAGAGATGAGCATGCAGCTGCTTGGGTGGCCTGATTCCTTGACCCCTTAGTGGGCAGAGGTGGGGGAGTGGGGGGTTTGAGCTCTAGAGGTGGACACCATTCTGCTCATGCCCAGGCATGGCTGGACAAGTGCCCTGTCCTCAGAGTTGTGGCCTCATCTAAAAAGTGTGGGTGGCATGGTCTCTCATCTGCAGGAGGGGAGAGTGGTCCTTGGTAGTGCCTGACCCTCCAGTCCCGCTGCAGATTGGAGGCAGGGAGGCTGGCCTCACCCTGCTGGCCTGCCTTGGCAGCTTGCATTCTTGTAGACTCAAGCATGGGAAGGCTGGGGTCGGGGTACAGGCAGTGGGGGCAGCAGTTCTACTAGATGAGGGCGAGGGCCACCCAAGTGCCAGGAGCCACCATGCCAGAGCACAAAGGCAGCGTGGCTTAGAGACCTGACACTGTGGTGAGGGTCCTGCTGTGCATGCGCCAGCTGTCCTCCAGCCTGTGGCCTGTCCACACAGGCAGGGCTTGGCCTCCGGGGCTGCCTATGCTCAGGGAGTGGAGCGTGTTCCGGCTGGAAGCCTGACTGCCCCTTGCTTGCTTGGTCCCACAGCTCTCCACACCTCCCGCCTCTCACACTCCGAGCCCCCCTCGGCCACGCCGTCGCCAGCACTCAGTGTAGAGAGCCTGGCGTCTGAGAGCTGCAGCCAGACAGCAGCTGGAGCTCTTCTGGAGCCTCCAGCCGTGCCCAAGAGCTCCTCGGAGCCTGCTGTCCATGCCCCTGGCACCCCTGGCACTCCTGGGAACTCGGCCAGCCTCTCTGCTCACTCCTCCCTGTCCTCCTCTGGGGAGCTGGTACAGCCCAGCATGGAGCAGACGCCTCAGGTCAGGACAAGAGGCAGCCCAGCTCCCCAGCCGGTTAAGCTCTGCAGTGGTGCCGCCCCTACACCTCTCCTGTTGGTTGGCGACAAGAGCCCTGCTCCGTCCCCTGGAAGCTCATCCCCGCAGCTGCAGGTAAAGGTGAGTGCCCTTTCCCCTCACCATAGGCTGTGTTCTCCCTGCGGGCATGGGGCAGGGAGGTCCAGCGCTGGCTCCTCTCTTCTTGTGGTGCTGGGGGCTAAACCCCTGAGCAACGTCCCCAGCCTTTTGTTTAATTTGCATTTTGAAACAGGGTCTTATCACATTGCCCAGGATATACTCAAGTCTTTTGGTCCTCCTGCCTCAGCCTCCCGAGTTCTAGGATCACAGTGCACCACCAGGCCTTGCTGGTCCCTGACTTCCTGAGTGGCTTTGGCTGTGTCCTGCTCACCACCCTGTGCAGGGGACACAGGCACAAATCCCTGTCTTACCTCTGTCTGTCTGCCAGACCTCCCCCATGTGTTCAGCTGTCTGTCCACTTTGGCCATCCATACGCTGTGCATTCAGCAATCGTTTCCCTGTCTCGGCCTGAGCACTGACCCTGATTAGCTGCCCGCCCTTCTGTCCCCTCTGGCTGTGTTGACATTGGGCCCTGGGCGTGGTGGCATGTAGACCTGTCCTTGCCCCCCTAGGCTCATGGTCTGCTCATGGGAACAGGTGTGCATCCAAAAGGTGAGGGGTGGCTTCTTTCACCCTGGCCCTGACCCCCACCAGAGAGTAGGTGTCCATCCTCACCAAGGGGTGACATGGGGGTCCCCATTCTTGAGGTTTGCAGCTCCTTTGTGCACAGAATTTGCAGCGGGCGGGATCAGCCACAGCAGACTGACGGCTCAGGAGGCATCCTGCTAAGCACCTGTGTCAGGTGTGGCCCCTCCTGTCCTTGCCGCAGGCGGCCCTCCAGGCCCCAATCTGTGCCTGGGCTCTGTCTTCCGGAAAGGTGAAGCGTGTATGAGGAGGGGCTGGCCGAGCCCCATCTCAGGTGTTGGGCTTTTCAGATGCTGCATGGGCTGTGGGCACACATTTGTTGCAGCCTTGTGTCCTGGAATAAGCCCACATAATAGTGCAGGTCTATGATCCCAGCTACTCAGGAGGCTGAGGCAGGAGGATTGCCAGTTCAAGGCCAGCCTGGGCCAATTAGGGAGACCCTGCCTCAAAATAAAATGTACAAGATTTGGGGGTGTAGGTCAGTGGTAGAAGCTTACCAAGCATGCATAGCGCCTTGAGCTGTGCCCCCAGCCCCACAAAAGATCAAAAGAAAAAAAAGAATCTGGGGTCTCCTGAGTCAGGACATTGCCTTGGATACCTGCTTTGTCCTCTTACAGCCACAGTGCCCACTCTGTAGGCCTCTCGAGGTCCCTGGCTAGTTCAGCACCCAGCACAGGGTGGCAGGACCCTCACGTGGGGCAGCTAGAGTTGTGGCCTGGCCCTTGCTGGTCCAGCCGTACTGCGTGCCTTTCAGACCTTACTTGACGTTCCCTGGGCCTGGGTCACAGCCTCTATGCACTAATGGTTGCTCTACTGCCTGCTGTGTGACTTTGAAAAGGCCCCAACCTTCTCTGGGCCTCCAGTTCTGCTGTTGAGGGGCTGGTCAGTGCCAAATGCCAGACGGCTCCAAGGAGCCCTGGGTCCTTTGGTGGAAGGAGGGGGCAGCTGGGCAGCTTAGGGTCCCCTGCCCCACGCAACTCAACTCGCTTTTTTTTTTTTTTTAGTTTTTTTTTATTTATTTATTGTGTGGCCAGCTCAGCCCACCAGGGGGCGGGCAGGCCGGCATGTGGTGCTGGGGGATTGAACCAAGGTCTCTATGCTTTGCTTGAGCTTAGCTTGTTCTAAGTAGGTGCTTTAGACCACTGAGCCATCTCACCAGCCCCTCAACTCGCTTTTAAGCACTTGCTTCCTGCCTGAGGCTGTAGGCACAGGGGTTGAGGAAAGGCTGATGAGCCTGGGGGGCTCAGAAGTTCTGGGCCATTTGCCTCTGCTGGGCCCTTCCGGGTTTGTATAGAACAAGAAGTGGAACCCCAAGTGGTCTTCTGGGGGCTCTGGGCTGTGGGAGAGTTCAGAGGCAGTGGGGGCGGGGGACAGCAGTTTTAGAGAGCTGCTCTGGCTCTGGTGCAGGCTCCCTGGGTGGGTGCTGCTCTGGGAGACCCGTAGGGCCTCGATGCTGTAGGAGACCCCGGCTGGGCCCTCAGCCTGCGCCTGGAGGGCTGTCCCTGAGCTGGCCTGGGCTCTGGTGTGCCTGAAGTGGGCTGGGCACAGAGCTGGCACTTTCCCAGGCTGGGAGGAGCTGCCCCCTCCGTCTTTGCCAGGCAGAAGGCAGAATTCCAGAGGCCATGGAGATGGCTCAGTAGAATAAGCACTTGCCTGGCAAGCGCAAGGGCCTGAGTTCAATCCCTGGTCTGAAAAAAAAAAAAAAAAAAGAGGACGACGACAAGGACAAGGACGATGATGATGACCCAGAAGGCAGAATTCCAGCTTTCCCACCTCTGGCTGGTTGACCCTGGCTGCAGAACTTTGCCTGGCTGGGCCTTTGCATACCCCCTGGGGAAGGGCTGGCTGGGGAGCTCCAAGGAGCTCCTGGAGCTGTCTCACCTTGGACCTCTGGCCTGACCAAGGCTCAGCATGCTCTGGGCTGCCAGCCGGAAATGCAGTTCTCATTGGCCTCCAGGAAGTACTTCACACCTCTAACTTGCTCAGAGGAAACCAGAACAACAGACCACATTGCAGGCTGGCTGTGAGCTGTACTGGTTTCTTTTGGAGGGGTGGGAGTGTTACTCTACCTCCAGCTCAGGGAGCCTTTCTGTTCTTTCTCCCTCCCTCTCTCTCTCTCTTTTTTTTTTCAGAACTGGGGATTGAAGGCAAGCGCTTATTCTACTGAGCCATCTCCCTTGCCTCCCCCACTTTTTTTTCTCTTTTGAGACAGGGTCTCGCTATGCAGTTCAGGCTGGCCTTGAGCTCACTTTGTAGCTCAGGCTGGTCTGAAATGATCCTTCTGCCTCAGCCTCCTGAGTAAGGGCTGGGATTATGGATATGCACCACCATGCCCAGCTCAATGGGGAGTCTGTCAACAGCTTTTAGAATCCACAGGGGGCTGCACCAGCCTGGGGGACTAGGTCAGGGCCAGTGAGGCCACCTAAGAGCCCTGCCATCTGTTCCCACTGCCTCGGAAATTCTCCCCTAATCCTGGGTAAGGGTGGGATGGAGTCCCACCCCGTGCTCTGCCCCTGAGGCGCGCTGCAGCCCGGGTTGTGAGATTTGCACAGCACCTGGTGCTATTACTGCCATTCAGGAGGTGTTCTGGAAATGAAAATGTTTGTTGAATGACTGCATGCCTTGGACAGAACTAGGGGAGCCTGTCCTGGCCCGAGCCCTCCCCTCCTCACAGCACCCCTCTTGCCCTTAGGGTCCTGGTCTGCTCCATATATCCATGGGTCAGGCTGCACCTTCTGAGCCTGAACCTCTGTTTTGTTCCTGTCTTTAGTCTTCCTGCAAGGAGAATCCTTTTAACCGAAAGCCATCGCCTGCAGCGTCTCCAACTGTAAAGAAGGCCACCAAGGGACCCAAGCCAGTGAGGCCACCTGCCCCAGGACATGGCTTTCCACTCATCAAACGCAAGGTGTCAGTAGGGAACCCCCAGGGACCCAGCTGGCCTGTGCCTGGCACACTCCTCTTTCCAGCCCTCAGCTGGGTGTCAGGGCTACTGCCCTGTGATGTTCCAGAGGGGCCCCTTGGGTGGCCTGCCTGGGAGGCTGGACTTGCAGCCAGGGGATTTGGAGTAGACCACACAAATGTTCAAGTGCTCGTGCGAGAGGCTGCTGTTTAAAGTGGGTCCCTCCCACTCCCATGGGGAAATCCTTTTGCAATGGCTGAGAAGGGAGGAGCTTCCCCAAAGGGTAGCATGGAGGAGTGTGTCATCCCCACCCTGACCCCTTGCCATACCCAAGCTGGATGTGGACAGAGCCTGGTCTCTGGGAGCTTGCATGGCCAGTGCTACCAGAAAGGGGCACAGCTCCTGGCAGAGGCAGCAGAAATGGGTGGGAGGGCCCGATGTCCTTCCAGTGACCAGGGTCCCATGGGCAGGTCCAGGCAGACCAGTATGTCCCTGAGGAGGACATCTATGGAGAGATGGATGCCATTGAGCGCCAGCTGGATGTGTTGGAACACCGCGGGGTCCTGCTGGAAGAGAAGCTTCGAGGCGGGGCCAATGGTGCGGAGCTACCTGGGGGTCTGGTGGGAGGGGCTGGGTCACTGGTAGCCCCACTTCCAGGGGTCACTGAGCCTGAGTGGGAGTCTGGCTTGTAGAGGGCTGCGAGGACGACCTGCTGGTGGACTGGTTTAAGCTCATCCATGAGAAGCACCTGCTGGTGCGGCGTGAGTCGGAGCTCATCTACATGTGAGTCCTGTTGTCCTGCCGGCACCTGCACGGGGCCTGTGGTGCTCAGCTGGCCCTGGGGCACCACTCCTTGGGGTGCTGGGCCCCAGGCAGAATCCTTTACCGCCTTGTTCCCGCCCCCCAGCTTCAAGCAGCAGAACCTGGAGCAGCGCCAGGCTGACGTCGAGTACGAGCTCCGGTGCCTTCTCAACAAGCCAGGTGAGCGCCCACCTGCTTTGGCCTGAATGTCAGAGGAGCAGAGCTGAGTCTTTCTGTCTGACTGGAAAAGGGCCAGGGAGGTGTTCCAGCCGTCTAGGATAGCAGAGGTTACAGCTGGTGACAGCTAGCTAGAGCCAGGCTGAGTACTCCGTGGATGTGGTGGCATGGTTGTCCATGGTGAAGAGGATAACGGGCTCTAGGTGAACGTCAGGCTCAGGGGCAGTCCTTGCTGTGTGGCCTTGGGTGGTTTTTTTACCTCTCTGGGCCTCAGTGGCTTCATATGTGGCTGTGGCATGGTGTGAACCACAGCCTCAGGCAGGGAGGGCAGGACTAGAACAGCAGAGCCAAGTTGGGTGTGGTGGCACACTCCTGTGGTCCCAGCACTCAGGAGGCTGAGGCAGAAGGAGTGCCTCAAATTCAAGGGCAACCTGGGAACACAGTGAGTTCAATGCCAGCGTGTACTACGCAGCAAGATCCTGTTTCAAGAAAAGCCTTTGAAACAACAAAAATAAATGGTGGGTGTGGGCCACCACTGCCATCTCCCAGATGAGGAGCTGGAGGCCAGAGAGGCTGGGGCGTGGCCTTCGGTGTTGCATCAAGCCTGTCCCTGTACACACAGCCCTTCCTGCCTTGGAGGCAGTGGTCCCCTCTCACTTGGGCACCTCAAGCATCCCTAGAAACCTGGGCTAGGCTGCCACTCGGAGGTCACAGTGACACCTGGTGGCCAGGGTGGATACAGCACTCTGCTTCCCAGGCGGCCTGGTCCTATCTTCCTGCTTCTTTAGCTGCTCTTGTCATCTTGTCCCAGAAGATGCTTTTTGAGGACAAAGCTGGTTGCTAGAGCCTGGGAAGCGATGGAGACCCTTTGGACAGCCTAATGATAAGCTCTTGGTGTCAGGATGCCCTGGTTCAAAGCCTGGCCTTGCCTCAACTGTGTGATGCTGGTCAAGGATTTAACTTCCCAAGCCTCAGTTTCCCCACACATAGATTGGGGACATAACTCAGCCAGCCTCCAGCCCCAACCTCCAGAATTGAGAAGTAGCAGGGCAGGATTTGAACTTGGGTGGTGGGTCTGAAGCCCACACTCTGTCTCCAGAACAAGACGAGGGGGTCACAGCCTGGGTAGTGGCTGATGGCAAGGTTTGCAGCAGATGTTGGGGAGGCAGTGCTGAGTAGGGGCACTCAGCCCTGGGAATTGCAGGCTGGGGGGCAGGGAGCACAGCACGGGTGGCCTCTGTGGGCAGCTCTGGGCATCCTTGTCAGCTCACTCTGGCCCTGCCTCCCAGGGCCACCTCGTGTGTGAAAGGACAAGCTCGAGCTGGAAGCCCTGTAATGAGTGTGGGCTCCGTCCTGAGAGTATGCATCGTGCTCCCTGCCCAGGCCCCCACAGAGTGTTTTTGGTGGGCAGCTTTGTGTCCTTGGTTCCTTTCTACAGTGACCTTTATTCTCTCCTGCTGTTCTGGGGAGAAAGAGGGTTTTCCTGCCACTCACATCTGACCTTTCCCCCGGTAGAAAAAGACTGGACTGAGGAGGACAAGAGCCGGGAGAAGGTGCTGATGCAGGAGTTCATGACCCTCATTGAGCAGCGCAATGCCATCGTCAACTGCCTGGATGAAGACCGACAGAGGTGACACAGCTGGGCTCTCACAGTGAGATGGCTCCCTGGTGGAGCTGGGATGCAGCCCCACACCCCAGGCCAGGCCTGTCCTCCCCACCAGTGACCCCAGCCTACCCCACTCCAGCCCCATGGGGCTCAGATGCCGGGAGTTCCTCCTGTGGGTGCTCAGCTTCCCTTTCCTGTTCCAGGGAGGAAGAGGAAGACAAGATGTTGGAAGCCATGATCAGGAGGAAGGGTGAGTCCCCTCCTTGGGAGTGGGGGTTCTGCACTTGAGCTCTAGTTTTTTTTGTTTTTTTTTTTAATACTTTGTGTGTGTGCGTGTGTGTGGCCAGCTCAGCCCACCAGGGGGCGGGGCTGGCTGGCATGTGGTGCTGGGGGATTGAACCGCGGTCCCTGTGCTTTGCTAAGCTTGTTCTAAGTAGGTGCTTTAGACCACTGAGCCATCTCACCAGCCCCTCAAGCTCTAGTTTTTCAGCCTGGGGCTGGAGGGTGAGGGGCAGGTCAGATACAGGGCTGGAACAAGTGTCGTCAGAGTTGTAGGGTACAAAGTCCCAGGCTGCTTTCCTGGGACAGCAGCCTCAGGCAGGAAGGCCCTGGTCCATCCTTGCAGGGTGGCCATGGACACCCTGGTGCCCATAGGACTGTGGTATGCTAGGCCACTTTCACAGTGTGGACTTGCTGGCCTTCTGGTCGGTTCCTCTTGAGACTGCAGATTGGCTGGGTGGGTCCAAGGGTCCCAACGGCAGTGGCTGCTTGGGGGCAGCTACAGAGCACTGGCTTGACTCAGTTTCTGCTAGCAACTCTGGCCTCATGGGTGTCTCTACTCAGGCTGGAGCCAGATGGCTTGGCTTAGCTTGGCATGTGGGCTGTGCCCTCACTCCTGTGTCTGCGGAGTGCAGTGACTGGGCACCCCGCTCCTGTGTGGGACTGTAGAGAAGACTTCTGTAGTGCACTTAGCACAGGCCTGGTGCCTGCGAGCAGCTCAGCTGGGGCCAGCTCCTTCAAAGGCCTGCATTTTCCTTGTTGTAACCTTGGTGGCTGGTGTGGCAGATGAGTTCTGAGTTCCCTCTGGCCCTGATGCTTGGCGTCTGTGTTAGGGCCCATAGGACCGTGAGCCCCAGTTGGGTAAAGTGAGCCTTTGAGTGTCAAGTGCAACCCAGACTGGGTCACATAGATGCAAGTCTCCCAGTTCTTGCTGATCGCTAGGAGAGAATGGTCCCCAACCTCTAGGGAGAAGGAGACGGGCACATGAAGTGACTTGCCCAAGGTTTCCATGAGAGGCACGTGGCTGGGCCAAGCCACTGTCCACACAGCTGCTCAGTGACATAGGTCACTAACCCTGCCACCCTGGGAGGAGTCCCCTTCCCCACCTGGTACAGCACCCTCTTCCTCTGCTGCAGAGTTCCAGAAGGAGGCTGAACCCGAGGGCAAGAAGAAGGGGAAGTTCAAGACTATGAAGATGCTGAAGATGTTGGGAAATAAGCGTGATACCAAGAGCAAGTCCCCTGGGGACAAGAGCTGACGGCGAGGGAAGCCACTGGGACTGCCCCCTCTTGGGTCTTATGGGTCAGGGGAGCCCTCTGCTACCCTTGGATCCACCAAAGGCTGAGGCAACTTAATGGCAGGGAGCCTCCAGGTGACCTCTCCCATCTCAGGTCTCAGCCTGCCCTGTCAGGTTCTGACGTCTCCACATGTTTGGTGGGACTCAAAGAGCAGGGACCAGGGGCCAAGGAGAGTAGTGGTGGAGCCTGAGCACCTGCTTATCCTGCCTAGTCCCTGACCTGGCAGGGAAGCTCCATGGCTGCTCTCCCTGCTGAACACACCGGCCAGGACTGCCTGACACCCAGTGCCTCTGTAGGCCTCTGGGCTCCTGCTCCTCATGGCTGGCCAGCAGAGGGGCTGCCTGACTGACTTCCTCCTGCCCAGCTGGGACCCTGAGTCTTTGCCTCCCATGTAGCATGGGTGCCCTAAATCTCGCGGGTCCCCTCATCCAGGTGCTCTATTTATGAAGTCTACAGTTGAATTTGAGCTGGCTCCTGAGTGGTCTATGCTGTGTCACATGTGAATGGGCCAGATGGGCAACTCATCTTCTCTCACCCTGAGTTCCAGGGTTCTTCCTCATCTCCCCTCTTCCATGGGATGTCTCACTTCCCACCACACAGGCCCCTGATGCCTGCCCCATTGCTTAGTCCCCTGTAGAGGGCCTACAGGGTTGGCCCCAAATCAGAGCTGTGGTCCCAGTCCTCAGTCTAGGGAGGTACGCTTCAGGTAGGTGCTAACTCTGATTCTTATTTTAATAAGTCTGACCCCTAGTTGGCCTGACCCCAGATTCAGGCTTTCTCCCCTGGCCACACTGGTGGTCTGGCCCATTTCCACGTATGGTCATCACTACTGTCTCCGGTTGTCTGTCTGCCCCCACCCCAACTCCTTCCCACAGGAGGACTGATGGCCACCAACCCACTGGGTGGCTGTGGATGAGGATGAGTGACGGGGACACTTGTCCAGGAAATGTGCCCGGCAGCTCTTGGTTACAGCACTGTTAAATAAGCTCCATCTGGGCGCTGCAGGCCCCTCCCTCCACGCAGCTTGGGAAGAGATCACACTGTATTAACCTGAGAGTGTTCCTCACCAATAATAAACGGAGACAACTTGAATTCTCAGGCCCTAGCCATGCCTCCTGGCCAGACAGCTCTGATTCCCAGTGTGGCCCTGACGGGTTCCAGATGGCTGTGTCAGTCATGTCCCACATTGCAAGCATGGCTGCCCTTACTTTAGTCATTGGTCATTTGTGGGAATCAATATAGACCCAGGGGTACGGGATTCCTATGTATGTAATTTGTAAATGTTAACCCCTCACTACGCAGATCAGATTCATAGTGATTCTCCTGCTTTCAGCCTCCCAAGAGCTGGGGTTATAGGTGCTCACCACCACACCCAGTCTCCATCACAGTCTCAGCTTGCCCCACAGGTGGGCCAGCACGGCACACTGGGGATCGAACCCTGGCCACTGCGCTCTGCCTAAGTAGGCACTTTGGTCCGCTGAGCTGTCAGGCCGGCCCTTAACCCCTGCTCTGAATTTGCTCTGTGGTTCTCTAGTTTGCTGCCTCAAAGGGCCATGCGATGGGCTCTGAGGTGGCGGACATACCCGGTCATAATGCTACCTTGATCCTCAGGTCCTTGAGGGAACGTGACTCAGGCTTTCCATGGACATTCCTGAGCCGGTCCTCACATACACAGTCGTGTTTATTCTAGAAACAAAAATACAGGTCACATGACCCAACCTACCTTATGGGTGGATTGATAGTGCCAAGATATTTTGGTTTATGAGGACAGGATACAGGAGAGGGGAGGATAGGTGGCTGTCAGAAACCTGAGGGAAAGAAGTCCTGATGTCCTGTGCACGAGGCCAGGGAGAAATGGGGTCAGGTCACTCTGTGCAGCTTAAGTTGGGGAATTGTGGATGTTACAGTGGAGGTTCTGGGTTTGTTCAGGGTCACAAAATACAGGCAGAGCTGGACTTGCAAAGCGAGGGCGCCTCAGTTTGAGGACCCCCCCCCCCCACTCTGCTTCACCCTGCTGGCTGCATTTAGTGAGGGATGGTGCTAGTTTGAAGCTTGGAGGCTGCTTGCTGTTTAAATGCCCTTGGCTGTAGTACTGGTGAGCCTTAGTTTTCAGGTCTGCCGAGCTACTTAACTGAGCTCAGATCCCTTCTGATTTGCTCTTGAATATGTAAAGTGGGAGCTGGAAACCACCTGTGCCCCCAAAATATACCCCTGGGGGGAAAAATATATATATATACCCCTGCTCTCAGCCAAAAGGCAGAGACAATTGGGCTCTACAAACTCTGACTAAACAATAAGCATTGTTCCTCTGAAAACAAGGTAGTTCACAGAATGACCCAAGTTAAATGACCCAAGTTAAATGTTTTATTGGCCAACTAATTGGTGTGGTTAAACTCTTGCCCAGGGCTATAAGAAGTAAAATGGGCATGACTTCCTAAGACATGTGAAGAAAGCTACACCTTCAGTCTTAAGTTCAGGAACAAAAGGAGCAGGACACTTAGAGGCTGGAGGTGACAGGGAGAGAACCCTGCATGCCTGGCAACATGCGTCCACAGTGCTGGGACCTGGGCCTTGCCGTCACAGAAAGGACTGGAAGTCTGTGGCTGTGGGTGGGTGGCTCAGAGGCATCCACAGTAGTGTCCAGGGAAGGCCCTGTCTGCCCCACGCTGACATAGGCAGGGCAGTGCTAGCCACCACTGGATGTGGTGAGGGCCAGTACAGGTGCCTCCAGCCGTCCAGGGTGGGCTGCCCGTTCCATCTCTGGCTAGGTGGTGGCCAGAGCTTTTGTAAGTTCTTCGGTCCTCTTGTGGTCAATGTCTTCCATTTCCCGTATTTTCTGCAAAGGCGATCAGGGAAAGCCAGTGTCCGACAGGAGCTGAAAGAGCTCGAGATGATGTGGACTGAGCTCAAGACTGCTGTGGCTTCTCCCATCTGCTCCGCACCCCAGGCCCACCACCCCCTGCTGGTTGCTCCTACCTGGGAGATTTCAGTGAGGATGATCCCGTGGTATTGCCTGCCCTGTCCCAGGGCCTCCATGGCAGCCAGGAATTCCTTTCTCTCCTGGACTTCCCTTACCACTGGACAGAGGAGGAGGGACATCAGTGCAGGACCGGGGGACCCAGACCCCTGCGAGGGTGAGGGCAGCAGATCGCTTCCCTTGTGGAGGGGCAGTGGTTCTGCTTCAGGAACTTTTTCCTTGTGGGCCCCATTCAGTTTTACACACACACACACACACACACACACACACACACACACACACACACAGCTCACATTCTTCAAACCGGTCCAGCTCATGGGCTGGCTCCTCCTGCCGAGCAGGGGGGCCTTTTCTCTTCCGTTCCTCTGGATCCTTCCCAGTGGCAAAGATATTTTGGAGTCTTCGTTTCTCCTTCTCCAGATCTCCTGCAGAGCCCAGAAATGGCCTTGTTAGGCATGAAGTGCATCTGCACTTATGCTTCCAGCCAGGTCTGCTACGGGGCTTCAGAGTCATGGGGAGAGGGATTTAGGGACTCCACAGCTTCGCCCCTGGCTATATCTGAGCTCCTCATGTCAAGACGGGAGGGAGTGGTGGAAAGAGGCAAGGAAGGAGCCACGCTAAAGCCCACGCACAGCTGGTTCAGTGCAAGGCCGAGAAAGCTCAGAGTCTGGGGGGTCTCAGTGGTGGCAGCCCATGTCCTGGGAACTGCAGGGACACCTCAGGAGGGGCTGGCCAGAAGTCATGGCAGATGTGAGGGAGGAAGGGCGCTCCATGATGTGGGCTGGAGCACAGAGGGTGAGAGGAGAGCAGCAGTGGCCCTGCCTGGCTTAGGGGCATGCAGTTCCTCAGGAAAGAAAGTTGGGGAAGAAAATAACAAGGGGCCAGCCTAACTGGTTTCCCTGGACATCCCCAAGCTAGCGCAAGCCCAGGCACTGGAACATGCATGTCGAGGCCAGAGAATCCGGTTAGATACCTGCCTGTCTGCCCTGTGGGCTACTTTTTGCCCATGTCCTAGGTCTCTGGAAGACTCAAAGACACTAGCCCAGGCCCTGTCACTTACTGGTGGCTTGAGGCCTGAACTGGTCACGGCTGTAGGCCCCATTGGCCTGGCACAGGCTGGCGGGCCGGAGGTGAGACCGGGTTGTCAGGCCAGGAGACAGGCAGATGGCCGAGGCTGGCTGCTTGGAAGGTGCGGTCATCTGGCTTGATGTTGGGCTGCACTGTAGGGGCAGAGGGTCTCCCTCTGGGGACAGAAAGTTGCAAGAGGACCTACCTAGTTTTTGTTTGTTTCTTTGAGACAGGGTGTCACTATGTAGTCCAGGCTGACCTCAAACTCATGGCAATCCTCCTGCCGCAGACACTGCAAACACTTTTTCTCCCCAAATAAAGGTGGTGTCTGCCTGTTAAAAGTCAAGTGGTGCAAAAGATTCTTCCTGCCCCCTCCAAGCCCACTCTGCAAGGAGCAATGGCGGTTTGGTGCTTTCTACTTTTTTTTTTTTTTTTTTTTTAAATCCATAAACATGTTCAGAGACCCTTGTGCATATATTTTTCCTTCGGTGCTGGGAATCAAACTCTGGACCTTGCATCTGCCCGGCAGTGCTTGTGCTGCTGGGCTATATCCCCAGTGTGCATATATTTTTTTAGTGCATACAAAATTGACTTTTCAAAACACTGGATCATACAGTCTCATTATCAGTAACTGACTCTTTTCACCCAATAATTTATCATGTATATCTTTCTAGAAAAATCTGTTTATTATACAACTTATTTTCATAGCTATATACTGGTTAAAATGATCGTATTATTTATTCCACTGGTCTCCTAGTTGTAGAAGCTCAGGTTTCCAGGCTTTCTGTCAGTTTTTCTTCTCCTTTTTAACTATCCCCAGCAGTGCAATAAATATTGTTCTACACTGAGTCTCTGCCTGGTGCTTTTTATTTTTTTATTATTATTTTTTTAAAATTTTATTTATTTGTGTGTGTGTATGTGTGTGTGTGTGTGGCCAGCTCAGCCCACCAGGGGGCGGGCTAGCTGGCATGTGGTGCTGGGGGATTGAACCGCGGTCCCTGTGCTTTGCTAAGCTTGTTCCAAGTAGGTGCTTTAGACCACTGAGCCATCTCTCCAGCCCCTGCCCGGTGCTTTTGTATGTTTTTCTTCCGCTTGGGCTATGGGCTGGGAGGGTCAGTTTGGGTGGTAATAGACCCCCATCCTCCTCCTAGCCTGCGCCTGGGCCCCTTCCCAGGCCACGAAGTGAGCCTGCTGCTGTCATGGTTCTGATCTGGTCCCTGTCTACCTCTCCAGCCTTCTTCAAATTCACTCATCAAATATAGATTCAACACCGCCTCTGTGCCAGGCCCTGGCCACCGGAGCCAGTGAGAAGTGAGGTGAAGTCTAGCCTTCCTGGGGTATCTGTCAGGGAGGGGACAATATTGTAAGTGACACCACGTTAGACAGCTGGATCACCAATATGTCCCACTGGGTCTCACATATAGTTTTGGCAGGGGCTGGAGAGATGGCTCAGTGGAATAAGCGCTTCCCTGGCAAGCGCAAGGGCCTGAGTTCAATCCCCAGTTCTGCCCAAAAACAAACAAAAAACATATAGTTTTGGCTGGCCTTGAGCTTACTGTCTAGCCCAGAGTGGCCTGGAACTTAAAGCGATCTTCCTGCCTCAGCCTCCCCAGTGCAGGGATTACAGGAGTGTGGCACCTGGCCTGGCTGGAACTATCAGCTTTATAGGGTGATGAGGGAAGGCTCATGGAGAAGGGGACATCTGAGAAAAGAGCAGAGCTCGCCCAGGAGGCCAGCACTGCATACACTTTGGGACAGCGCCTGCTGGGCAGAGGGACAGCTGAGTGGAGGCCGGAGGCTCAGGCTTGGGTGGAGTGGTAGAGATGGGGCAGAGGTCATGGCGGCCACCAGAGGCTGGAGAAGAAGAGTGGCCTCTGGCTGCCTCTGGCTGTGAGTCCTGCATACAGGCAGGAGGGGAGACTTGCCTTCTGGAGCCACTCAATCATGAAGCGACGCGAGGGCCCTAGCAGTGACAGACAAGATGGGGATATGGGTCCAGATCAGGTGCGAAGTCCAAGCAGATGGTGCTGGGAGGACGGAGTCCTGCCGAGGAGGACCCAAGCTGCGTGCTCCCAGCAGCCAGGAGCAACAGCTTCCACCTTCCCCCTGCCTGCCCCTTCCCCACTCTCAACCTAGAACCATTCCACCCCTTCCCTCTCTTCCCTGAAGAGACCACAGGCTCCCGGAATGTCTCCTCCTCTGCCCTCCCACTCCTGCCTCTGTCCAGGCTTGGCAAAGAGCCTGGTATCTGGGAGGGGCAGTGGCAGCATCTCAGTCAACCTCAAAACAGCCCGAAGGCAGACCACACTAAGGCTTGTGGGCAGCTTTTTTTTTTTAATTTTAATTTTATTGAGAAACAAATATGAATGAGACAGTTTCAAAGCTGATTAATAGGACAGTTTCGATAATCAATACATTGTGCATTCTTATCTTCTTAGTGGTTATCCATAGTACAAGAAGCAGACAGGATATTCTGTCCAAACACTATTAGTACACCTCTTTCTTCTCATTGAATTAAGTGAAAGTAGCTGTATATCTATCAACTATTTTGTATATATAAATACAAAATGATCTTTCCTTTGTATCTCCTTTTTTTTGTTTAGTCTTGTCAGAGGTGGATATTCTATTGGCATCTAAATACTACAGGTGTTTGAATTCAGCTAAACAATCCAACTCTGTCTAGCAGTCTATAATATTAGTGGGTTATCCTCAGAAGTTATTGACTTGAGCCTTTTACAGCTCATCGTATTAATATGGCTTTACTTTATATACCTCATTTATATACTTTTCTGCTGGATGGTTAAGACCAAGATAAAGCAAGATCTATATAACAAGAAATTTAACTTTTGTATCTGATAAGGTCAGTCAAGTACCCTCAGAATTTATCCTGTCCGGGCAGCTTTTGAAAAAGAAAACTTTCTTTTCACTGACTCCCATAGGCCTGATCCCTGGTCGCCTCAGTCTCTACGTAGTCAGACTGGCCTTGAACTCATAGTGGTCCCCTGGCCTCAGACTCTTCCTGTCTCGGCCTCCCAAATACAGGGGTCACAGGCACACACCACCACGCCCAGCTCACCTGTCATTCTCTAAGGATCAAGCACCTGCTCCAGGGTTGGGTTAGGGAGGCAGATGCTGGCTTAGTGGGGGGAGGGGTCTTTGTGGTTATGCAACAGCGGAGACCACATTATCGGGTTTCCGAGTACAGAGACTGAGTCACAGGACTCAAATGTGTGATGGTACCAATCTGTGGTGGCCCAAGTTGTTCCTGTCCACAGCATAGAAGGAGATCTGACCCTAGCCTAGCCTGACAGCCTCTCCCCCAGCTGGGGCTGGACAGGCACTGCCCCTGGGGGCCTGTGAGCCTGCTCCCCACCTCTGTGGCTCATCAGGTGCCCTCCTTAGAGGAGCAGTAGCTGCTGGGCAGTAGGCACGTGCCTTGAACCCCAGCCCTTGGGAGGCCAAGGCAGGAGGACCAAAAGTTTCAGCCTAGTCTGGGCAATTTAGTAAGATCCTGTCTCAAATAATAATTATTATTTTTTTAAACGACTGGAGGCCGGGGATATAGTTCAGCAGCACAGCGCCTGCCAGGCCAGCTCAAAGTCCTGAGTTTGATTTCTAGTACCACAAAAAAAGGGAGGGCTGGGATGTAGCTCAATATGGAGGACTTGAGTATAATCCCCCAGTATTAAAAAATGAGAAAGATGGGGCTGGAGAGATGGCTCAGTGGTCTAAAGCACCTACTTGAAACAAGCTTGGCAAAGCACAGGGAC